GCATATATATACAGGTATATATACATACATATATATATATATATATATATATATATATATATATATCATTAGAGATTTTAAAATAATTATAAAGGATTAAAACACTGAAAGAATGTGCTTAAAATCATTTGTGAATAAAATTTAGATGTTACCACACAGGTAACAAATCAAAATATATGATTTAACATCACTGAATCCACCTAAATGTATTACGTTACACCAATATAACTAAATCTGAGGATTAGACCAGGTAGAAATAATCTTCAATATAACAGTAGTTTAACACTTTTTACAGGGCATTTTTCACAGTTTTTCTCTATGTGGCTCTGCACATAATTACAGAGTTACTGAATCAGAGAGAAAAGTTAAATAAAGTGTGAGATGCGAGTTCATGGAGGGGCGGGCAGTGGGAGGACAGTATGAATATGAGCAAGCTTCAGGAGGAGGAGATTTAAATGATCAACTTGTTGAAAGGTAGTTAGGGCGCTCATATGGAAGTGTGCAGGAATCTTGCACTAGAAAACAGACGCAGGATCTCCAGTGGCGCGTGAGGACGATTAAAACCTACAAACCATGATTGCAAACACCTATTTTAAACATATTACATACATCGTACATCTTCCCAGGGCGATCTAGATGGGATGCAATTAAGTGACGTGTCACCACTGATATCTTATGAAACCGGAAAGATAAAAACATTGCGAATATGTTTAGCGCATTTTCCGGATTGCTTCATTTTATTTGGTAGCTTTGAGAAAGCAACGCACACTTTACTACCGACGAGCAAGACACGAACTGGCCACCTAGAGCCGTTTTGTGGAATTTATGGTGAAATTTCCATATTGACATTACCATTTGGATGGACTACTGTTTGGATTTTTCTACGATTAGACTTGCCTTGGCATTCGAGATGGGCTATTTGACGTCACTGTTACAAATCGTTGCTGCGGTCCAGTTGAGCCTTTTACCTGCACAGGTGAGCATATGGGCCGTCCTTTTTTACAGGTAACCTGCATCAATTATACTCCACATACTGATGCTACGCTGCAAAACGAGAACGCTGTTTTAATCCACGGAACGAGACGACTTGATCCTAGCGTTATAGTTTTATCGCCTATCTAGGGTGGGAGTTCACAAAAGACGCGTTCTTTTATCGATGTAGCTTATGGACGCTCTAATGGACGTAGCGCATCTTGCTACGTTTTTAAATAACCATGTCAAATGAAAAGTAATTCAACTGTAAAAAGTGAAAGAAAACGTGTCTTGAGACCTGTTCTGTTGCTCTGTATTTGAACATAAGAACGCGTCCAGTGTTATTTGTCCCGTAATGACCCTTTGTGTAAAAGCCTGTAGGCTGTTTAAAACGTTCTTAAAGAAAACGTGTCTTGAGACCTGTTCTGTTGCTCTGTATTTGAACATAAGAACGCGTCCAGTGTTATTTGTCCCATAATGACCCTTTGTGTAAAAGCCTGTAGGCTGTTTAAAACGTTCTTGAAGTATTGCTGTTAGCTTTCGTGTTCAGAATAGAGATACCCAATGAATAGGCTTTCTTTCAAAAAAATAAAAAATAAATTGAATGAGGAAAATTTGAACGTGTCTACGTGCAGTTGACGGTCAGACCTGGATGAATGAATGGAGTCAGTTTACTTTTGACACGGCTTCCAGTAAAGCCTCCAGACGGCTGTTTTTATAACACCCTCTATAACTTGATCCCTTTTTGAAGTGCTGCAAGAGAAAGTGTTGAGTCATGAAACGAAACGTGACGAACTGCATCACCCCCTTTATCCCACAGGCATGTGTGACACATTGTTCTCTTTACTCACTAGTGATGAATGAATGCCAAAATCATCAGACAGATTCTATCTTTATATGCCTTCTACTGTTGTCAAAGATAATGAGAGACCAATTAGGCAATGTAAGTATGTCAAAGTCAGCCTCAGATCTGAACAAGCATGTGCTTTTAACTACAAAAATGACATACTGTCTATATCCATTCAAACTTTTCACTATGAAATGTCAAAATGTTGAATAAGAAGATCATTGTCCCACAAGTCAAGGTAAAATATCGCACCTCATGTTATGTGAGATGGCTAAGTTGAGCTGTAATTGGCATGAGAGTCCACCTCAATATTCTTATCTTTTCCTCTGTAACAAAAAAAGCAGCATGCTTTGAACAATGATATTTCATTGTGTTCACAAATGGGCTTTGATATGTCACATTCTATGCACCTGTTAATCATAGGTGAAGCCAAACAGTGTTAGTTAGACCACTACAGCTCATTTGTGGTAGGGTCTCGACCGCAAGCTTGACAGTTTTTATCACTCATTCTCTTTCAGCTGAATGTAAAACCTCACATCCATTTTTTTCCTGTACATCATTGAAAAAAATAGTCGAGAGGATAATGGTTGGCTGCAAATCTACTATTCTCTACTTACAGAAGCTTAAAAAGAGCAGAGACGGACATTAATTTAAAAGAGTGTAAATATGTTCTTTTGTCATTCAATATTAAAGGGATACTCCACCCGAAAATGAAAATTTTGTCGTTAATCACTTACCCCCATGTCGTTCCAAACCCGTAAAAGCTTCATTCGTCTTCAGAACACAATTTAAGATATTTTGGATGAAAACCGGGAGGCTTGTGACTGTTCCATTGACTGCCAAATAAATTACACTGTCAAGGTCCAGAAAAGTATGAAAGACATCTCAGAATAGTCCATCTGCCATCAGTGGTTCAACCGTAACGTTATGAAGCGACGAGAATACTTTTTGTACGCGAAGAAAACTAAAATAACGACTTTATTCAACAATTCGTCTCCTCTGTGTCTCTCCGCATCACCGTAGCACCATTTTGGAGAATATCGGCTGAATGCAAGCAGCGTACGCTCTTCTGTGTCAGCAGCGCTGCACGGATGCGCTGTTTTCGTTCAGATCAAAGCGTAAATACATGCAGAAAATGTATCCTTGTGTCGCGGCTGAGACAGAATAGCGTACGCTTCTTGCGTTCAGCGGATAGTCTCCAAAATGGCACTATGGTGATGCGGAGCAGAGCATGTGAGCGAAGCGGAGCGGTGTGACGCTCCGCTACGTTTTCCGCTCTATGGACGTGCGCTCCACTCAGTCGCTCTAACCGCCCAAGCAAGCGCTCCATTAATATTCCGCTCACGCTCGCTCACATGCTCTGCTCCGCATCACCATAGTGCCATTTTGGAAACCAATTCCCGCTCAGATCCCGCTCCGTTCTGTAAAGAACAAATTTGCGTGCATTATATTAGATTATAAATTACTGCTGGATGACTTTCATACTTTTCTGGACCTTGACAGTGTAATTTACTTGGCAGTCAATGGGACAGTCACAAGCCTCCCGGTTTTCATCCAAAATATCTTAAATTGTGTTCCGAAGACGAACGAAGCTTTTACAGGTTTGGAACGACATGGGGGTAAGTGATTAATGACAAAATTTTCATTTTCGGGTGGAGTATCCCTTTAATCCTGCTACTGGCAGGTCAGAACAAGGTTTATCGGGCGTAGTAAATCCAAAAACCACACACTTCTTCCGGACCCCACAAATTACTTACGCCTCCATTCACTTTTACCAAATTCACATGCCGTCTGTCATATCACTGAGCATAGACCAGGTGTGGGTGCGTCAGAAGTGTGCTTCTGTTTCCTCTTGTCTCTCTCTTGTGCTTGCGGCAAAACTTAGATTGATTTTATTTTAGGAGTTACAGGAAGTTGGCAAACACTTGCTGTTACTGATGCTGGCGATTATTTAAAAGAAAGTTAAATTAAGCACGTCCTCTGTAAATATGAATGGGAATCTTTCCATCTAAATGCTCAAAAAAGTAGCATTCATTCTGTTATTGGTTCAGTGACATGACACCATTTTTGTGGATCTATTATTCATTGAATGCAGCTGTTTCATGATAAGCATGATTTTAATATGATTATTGTTTGTAACTGTAATAATATTGTTATTAAAATTCATGTTCGTATTTTTTGTGGGCATAAAGTCAAAAATTTCAAGGTACACATCTGTCCTGAAATCATAATGAATAAAATAAGTCCTTTAAAATTTCAGATAATTTGACCTTGACAAAGTAAAAAAAAAAATGTATACATACTTTTTAAAATAATGATTATTGTGTTTGCTCATATACAACTTTAATGACTGATAACTTGATTACATTTTAAGAGCACTTTTAAGAGCTTCTTGACAAAGGTATAAAAGGTGTAACAAATTAACAGTACTTTCCACCTTCCTTAAAGGTCTTGACTTTTTTTTTTATATATATTTTTTTTTTTTTTTTTGCTTTTATACAATGTGTTCATCTCCTGTTCCTTCTTTGAATCTCCTGTTCCCTATTTCAGAAGGATCTGTATGAAGCAGTTTTGTAATGATCACTTGTGTAAGGAAGGGAGTTGCTGTATCATTTCCAAAGTTGGATAATCGGCTCACAGATGGTTTCTTTAAACTTAAGAAAAATCTATCAGGGAAACTGTTTGTGTGACAGAGGTTAAAATACTACACACAGCTTAAAACTGTTCAGTATGGGTATACATAGGATTATACATACATATGTAAATGCAATAGTTTTAACTACACAAGTTTGATTTCATGCTATGTTGCATTACATAATGTGTCATCCTGCAATTAAAAAAATAAAAATCTCAGGCTTGCAACAAAGGGTGCTAGCAGGTATTAGCATAAGCAGTCATCTTTACGATCTGTCACAACATCAGATATTCACTACACAGTTACCGTGGCCGGTAACACTTTATTTTAGGGTCTCTTAACTAGTTGCTTATTAGCATGCATTTTACTAGAATATTAGCCATTTATTAGTACTAATTAAGCACATATTAATGCCTTATTCTACATGACCTTATTCTACATCCCTAATCCTACCCAATACCTAAACTTAACAACTACCTTACTAACTATTAATAAGCAGCAAATTAAGAATTTATTGAGGGAAAAGTCGTAGTTAATAGTGAATAAGTGTTCCCTATTCTAAAGTGTTACTCCATGGCTAAAAGAATTCACGATAACAATAATCTTGCCATTCCAATAGAAATTTTGAATATACTGTCTCAATCAAATTCATCTTAAACTTTATTTTGGGGTTTCTCATTTTTGGCCAATGAAACACTCAAAATACAAGTGTGGGGAGGGGGAGAGAGAGTTTGTAATCATAACTGTACAAAAGCATCCCAAAAAAAAAAAAAAAAAAAAGCTAACTTTAAAAAAAATAAAATTCTTGCTTTTGTCTGACATCTCCTTTGACATGATTTTGTTCAACAATAGCTACACACTGCGTTATCTTTTTTTCCATTTTATGATGGATGACAACCAGCGTTAAGGTGAAATACTGCCACCTACTGTGTTGGAGTGGCACTTAGATCAGTAGTTCCCAACTACGTTCCTGGAGTACCCCCAATACTTCACATTTTGCATGCCTCCTTAATTAAACACACCTGATTCACCTTATCAGATCATTAGTAGAGACTCCAAGTAAAGCCACTTAATGGCAAGCCTCCAGGTTTAGCAAAAAAAAAAAAAATGCATAATGCTCCAGTACATAGGGAAGGAGGCCAGTGACCAGTTTTTTTTTTGTTTTGTTTTTTTGAATGGATGTCATTGGAGGAGAGGCTTCACTACATTGAATAAACTAATTGTGTAGAAATACAACTACTTATTTAAAGGAGAGGTCTAATGCTATTTCATGCATTATGACTTATTTACACTGTTAAAGAGTTGGATTCTCATGCTAAACATGGCCAAAGATTAAAAAAAAACGAGTTGGAGTATTTCTGTGTCAAATACACTCTTTCAGGGTTTGTTTAAGTTTCAGGAAGTTTTTTTTTTTCAAATATGGCCCTGTATGATGTCATAAAGGGCGGAATTCCTTGTATGGGCATTTCTCTCGGGAAAAAAAAAACATACTGTTGATCAGCACTTCCTGCAGACTGGTGAG